TTCGACTTCGACAACAAGAAATTTCTGAACAACGCCAAACCAGACTTCAAGCACAAGCTGCAAGACAGGCTGCTCAAATACAGGGAGACTCTTTGGAACAACGTACAATTCGACTTCGACAACAAGAAATTTCTGAACAACGCCAAACCAGACTTCAAGCACAAGCTGCAAGACAGGCTGCTCAAATACAGGGAGACTCTTTGGAACAACGTACAATTCGACTTCGACAACAAGAAATTTCTGAACAACGCCAAACCAGACTTCAAGCACAAAAATTAAGACAAATAACTTACAGAAAGCAAGAAGCAGAGGAGCAACATGATGTACGACTTCAGGCTCAAAGAACAAGACAAGCTCAAACACGATCTAATTTCAAGTAAAGCTTTGTTTGATTAAATGCTTTTTTATTTCTCGCATCACAGCTTTTGTCTACTTACTAAATAATTTGCTGAAAAAAATACTGATCTATACATTTCAAATCGAAATTTTCACTGTGCAACGCCGGGTAACTCAGCTGCAACGCCGGGTAACTCAGCTACTATCTATACATTTAATTATTCCTTTCCTAGCAGCAACATTTTATCACCGTTATGAATGAAGAAAATATTTTTATAATTTTGCTGGAAAAAAAAACCCACTATTTTTAGTGATCATAACGAAATGTTGAAAAGTCAATTTTTATAAGCATCTGCTTTGGTAAAATGATGTAACGTCACAAACACTATAAGAAAATACACAAGCTAAGGCGAAACCTGCTTAATAATTATGATTTAGAAGACTTAATATGATATTTAAGAAACTTTATCTAAATAAAATATTAAGTTTGTATTACCATTTTCATGCTTCGAAAGACTAAAAAACGTAACAGAAAAAACTAGGACACTCTTTGCATATCAGTGGTATTTAATAAGTCTTAAACATACTCAAAACTCAAGGGTTTTCGTCACCAAAACCTCATTTGTTCCATATGACATATGATGCTTTTGATGAAGAAAAGACACTTGGTATTTTCAACCTGAACAACACCTTACGTGAAACATGGGATAAACGACCTGTTGAGAGACCCTTAAGGGGCAGGCACACACGTCCCTGATTTAGAACTACTTACTGACTGGGGGAGGGACAACCATTCAGCAGCATCCATCACTTACATTTCAACCCTTAACTCAATAGCGAAATGGAGGGGCAACCATTCAGCCGCATCCATCACTTACATTTCAACCCTTAACTCAATAGCGAAATGGAGGGGCAACCATTCAGCAGCACCCGTCACTTACATTTCAACCCTTAACTCAATAGCGAAATGGAGGGGCAACAATTCAGCAGCATCCGGCACTTACATTTCAACCCTTAACTCAATAGCGAAATGGAGGGGCAACCATTCAGCAGCATCCATCGCTTACATTTCAACCCTTAACTCAATAGCGAAATTGGTCGTCACAATTATAAGTCACTACAACTGAAGTATGGAGTATGTGCAGCGGCATATTGCGGCTCAAGCGTTGGAATTCTGATCTGCTGACCCGACATACTAGCCACTAGGTCTGTTATTAGTAATAGTTAGAACACTATTCTTTAATTTGTTCAGTCCGTGTTGAAATATAAGTATTGATGAAAATGAAATGAGATTTATCTGTCAGAGCCTATTTCTTGGTGCATGAAATTTCCGTCCTACTCCTTTCCATGACATCACACCACCAGTAACGAACTAATTGGGGAGACACATGAAGTGCTCCTATTTCTTGGTGAATGAGATTTCCGTCCTACTCCTTTCCAAGAAATCACACCACCAGTAACAAACTAATTGGGGAGACACACAAAGTGCTACTGTCAGAGCCTATTTCTTGGTGAATGAAATTTCCGTCCTACTCCTTTCCATGACATCACACCACCAGTAACGAACTAATTGGGGCAGACACATGAAGTGCTACTGTCAGAGCCTATTTCTTGGTGAATGAGATTTCCGTCCTACTCCTTTCCAAGAAATCACACCACCAGTAACAAACTAATTTGGGGCAGACACACGAAGTGCTACTGTCAGAGCCTATTTCTTGGTGAATGAGATTTCCGTCCTACTCCTTTCCAAGAAATCACACCACCAGTAACAAACTAATTGGGGTAGACACATGAAGTGCTACTGTAAGTCGTTCTGCATATGACTGTTTTCTTGTGATTCTTTACTGATTACGTTTAGATAAAAAATGCTACAAAATCTAATGTGTTCAGGAGAGAGAAACGTTATGTTTTTAACCCCATAACAAATGTCCAAAGAGAATCGAGCTTGGCCTAGTGGTTAGCGTATTAAAGTATGTATCCGAAGATTGTGGATTCCAGACATTGTGTTACCAAACACACTTTTAGCTATAGGTGTGTTATAAGAGTAACAGAGCATTCCTTTATTGGGCTAAAACCAGCCACTTCAGGCGGCGGGTAATGCCGAAAAGTTGTCTTCCTTCTGGTAGCAGTTTAAAATTCAGCTTTGCCTGAATCATAGGTATTTATGATCTGGTGTGTATAAGGTGTTGTTGAGGTGAAGAAACAAGCAACAAACAAATAGTTTAGAAAGAAATAGCTCCCCAGTGGCACAGCGGAATGTCTGCGGACTTACAACGCTAGAAACCGGGTTTCGATACCGTGGTGGGCAGAGCACAGATAGCCCATTGTGTAGCTTTGTGCTTAATTCCAAACATACAAACGAAAGAAATAACATACTGCGGTTTTTGACATAAAAAGGCTTGGCATGGCAGACTGATTTAGGCACTCGGCTTGCAACCTACGGGTTGCGGGTTCGAATCCCATCACCGAACATGCTCGCTCTTTCAGCCGTGATGGCGATATTATGGGAATGTCAATCCCTCTTTTCATTAGTAAAAGAGAAGCTTAAGAGTTGCGGTGGATGGTGTTGACTAGTAGCCTTCTCTCAATTCTATCACTTCTAAATTAGGAACAGCTAGCACAGCTAGCCTTCGAGTAGTTTTGTGCGAAATTCATCAAGCAAACAAACAATTGATGTGAAAGCACACTTAGCTGTGTATATGAGCTAAGGGGCTTAACGTGTCATTTCTATAATTATATTATATTATATACTTATATTATATTACATTACACTTCGTAATATGATCGTCTTAATCAGATTCAGTCAATGTAGGGCAGGTTTCTGGGCCACTCCCACAAACACGTTTCTTGAGCAATAACGATTAATGGCCCTCTGTTGTCGTTTTCGTACTTGCATCACAAATAGACAAGAAACTCTGACGTAAACACTTAACGAATCTCACCTGACTAGGTATGTTCTAGTTTGAAAAAATAGAGCAAATAAGTTACAAGATTAGTACATATATTTATGTTCAGGAACTATAGGTCAACATCATATTCCCAACTTTAAGACACTTAGGGCCTTCTTTATCAGGAAAAAGTAGACCTTGAATTTGTCAGAACACTAACAAATCAACAAAGTCACTCTTTCTATTTCTGTTTCTAAACAAATCCACAAGATTTAGCAATTTATTCATAAATCTAACCAGTCTAAACAAGAAAAGAACAATTTTTGTGCTATGTTGTTTAGTATATTCAAGATATTCAAACATATATTTACAATTAAAAGCAATACGACGTTAAATTCTTACACAATAAATAATTACAAAAAACAGGGACTTGCCCGAAAAGACTCTACATATGTTTCGGTGTCGATATGACACCATCTTCAGGAGCAACGGAAGAAGTGAGATGGTGTCATACGGACACTGAAACACAGAGTCTTTTAGACCAAGTCCCTGTTTTTAATAATTACTTACTGTGTAAGAATTTAACGTCGTATTGCTTTTAATTGTAAATAGATCTTTTACACAGTGTCATTTTTAAATTATATATATTCAAACATATGACTAAAGTACTAAGTGAAAATGCGTAATGAATGCTAATAAACAGTTAGTAAAATAGTGTATTTAAGTGTTTTACACTCAGAAAAAAGAAACCTATTATTCTATTGGTATTTGAAGAACTTGTAGCATTTCGCCACAATTTATTTCTTCCTAATGTTAGCCGACACTGGGCAGCTGGTACGTAGTTGAACAGAGTTGTTTAAACATTTGTTTAATAACAAATAAAAGCTTGGAATGGATACGACCCTGGACATGACCACCGAATTTAAACAACTCTTTTCAACAGCTCTAATACTAATTATAGTATTTTGGCACTTTTGTATAAAGTTAAAATCATAAATAATATTCAACGTTAAACTGGTACACATTTAAAAACATTTTATGTAACGTCGAAACATGTAGAGTCGTCAACTTTTTGAAGGCCATAGATAGGCCTAAAT